TCTCTGCCATGTACCGACGCGGCGATCGCCGCTGCTGTCGCGAAGTATGAACGCTGCCTACTTGTTCTTTCTGTTCTCCTGTCAGGCATCTCTGGTTTCCGCTCACGCAACGATTCCTTGTTTCTTGGGATACTTGTCTAGTCTAGAGGCCTTGGTCGGGAGACAATCAACAGTCTTCCCACTACTCTCCTCACTGGTATGTCAGCTAGCATCTACGAACACAGCAAATATCTGCACCTATCTGGCTCATATCCAGGCACCACACCTCAGCAATTTCGCTTTCAAGATGCGCTCTTAGTCTGCTATACCTTTAAGGCGCTTGTCGATGTGTGTGCCTTTTTTTCTTTTCTTAATCGTGTCTCACCTCGCAAATCTTCTGTCGAGTACCCCGTATCCTGTCAAGCTTGGCGGAAAGGTACTAGGCTCAGTGGAGCGCCGTGTCTCCTTTTTTCGAATTTTGCCAAGTCATTTTGACAAGCTTTGACATTAGTTTACAGGGCATTCGACACCTTATAACAAGATTTGTAGGCTGTTGACAAGATTTTTGTTATTCACATGTATACAGTTTACCGGATTCGGTATCTTTACAAGCGCTCGCAGTTGGAGCACCCTCCCCCCCCCCCCCCAACATTATCAGCGCCTGGATAGCTAACGTTTGGTTCGTTGTGAGATTGAATCGATTTGATATTGGTACTTACAGAGAAGTTGAATGTACCTACGAGGCGTGACAAGAATTTGTCGTCCAGTGAGATGAACCCTTCGCAGTTTGTCGGCTTTTTCGACATATACGAGAAGCATGCGCCATATTTTCATACTCGACAGAAAACAGCACTGTTCTATGGTATAGCTACGAATGCAGTTATAATATTTGCTTTATATGTAATGAAGGACAAGTTCTATTGAGCTCATGAGATTGTTTCGAATCCTCATGTATTGTAACGTTGTATTTCCCGCTCTATTATGCAACGAAATTTGTATCCTGTTTGTACCGTACGTTCTCCTACCATATCCTGTTATTTTGGACCTGGGTCCACTGAGATTTGGTCGTGAGATGACTTTGTTTTATGGCGCCGTGCTTTGTTGGCTTGCCGCGTTGAGCGTTCTCTGCATTGCCTACTCGGTATCGCTTAACTATATAACTGTGTGTCATTTTTGGCTGCTGAGATCCAACGCTTTCTTCATCTTGAAGTGTATCGCTATACTTATCCCAGCTGCAGTCATAATACCCTTAAGTGTTTTACTACCGTATTTGATACTGAATGATACGCAATCAATCCCGTCAATGCTGATAGCAGACCCAAGGAATGCCGTCCTTGTGGACAAGTACGCTGCCATGGTGGTTTATCTCCAGTCTCTAGGCGTCGACTTATGCCTTATATTTCTACTCTTTATATACACTGCCGCAGCAATCATTGGCAGTGCAATGATCATCAGGTAAAGCAAACATGACTACTAATTCCATGATCGTTGTTGAGAGGAAGAGAAAAAGGAAGGGGCGTTGTCAGACAAATTTGATATTGACGAGCGTCAATGCGCTTCAAATCGTCAAACAATCTTCTGTCAAGCGGGCGCCGGTTTTCAATGGTAATGGACGGGGACGTAGCCGCAGACGGTATCGGATCGGGCCGCGGTCGGCTAGTGTTCATGTAAAGTATGGGATGATATACATGGGTACTAGCATGATGGAGAGACGACATACCTCTTTCATCCTCTTCTCTCTTGCAATGTGCCTGTCGTGGTTCAGTGAGAGACAAGTCGCCCTTCGAACCCTCAAAAACACGGAAGCAATCGAGATGCTTCAGAGTCCTAGTGAGTGCCCGACATCCACGGCACTCACGTACATCCTAGGAGTCCTTGCGTCGGGACCACCACTGCCTCTCCCAGAGCAGCCTCCCTCCGACGGTCTGCAGGGTTCCTATGCCCGGGGGGGGGGTGTGGGATCTAGCGGAAGTAGCACTGTCGCCACAGCTGCCGTTTTAGCCTCTGCGTCGGAGCCACGAGGGCGCTAGGCCAGGGATTTCCTGGTCCGTGCACACACACCGCCACGCGATTTGCGACACAGCATGACAACTAACATACGCTGTAGTACGGGCCGCGCCCTGGGCTGCCTCCGCTGTTACCCTAACACACGAATAACATAAAACAATTTTATATACTCACCATGTAAATTTGGTTTTTTCAGAGAAATGCATGCACATCAAACCTTCACCTCATCCTGCTGTTGTGGCAAACCAAGGCCGATCGTTCCTTCGTGACATCGATAAGCGCGATAAGAGCGGTAAGCTTATCTGCGGCCTGCGGAGCCATGCGTCGCTCCGTGGCGACAGGTGGCCACTCGACCTGCACCACGTAGCCTGGCCATTCGACCTTCATCTGGCAGGCAGTGAGAGCAGTGTTCGTACCCTTTCGGCAGAAAGAGTTGGCCAGAGTGAGTCAACAGCGGTGGCGGAGTCTCTCGGCGGCCGCTTAAATAGCAGCACGCAGGCTAGGACGTCACGTGGCGCCCTATTGGTTGAGCGCGGAGCTAGCGCATAGCCTTAAGTGTTCTAGGGCGCAAAGAGAGCTCAGGCGCCCGGCGAGCCCGGGGCAACAGTCGCGTTTCGCGACATGGCCAGCGCCGATCGATACCGGTCTATAGCATTTTTTCGCCATTGGAGCGAAAGCGCATCGAACTACGTTACATCACGTTGCAGCGCGTCGACGCGAAGTCCGAACGCTGCCTCAGAAGAAATCTGGTTCTTGCCACGGCAAATGTTTCCCAGTTTCTCTCAGGCGCATTCGATTGCGGTGAACCACAACATGAGAAGTACAGGTTAAAAGATCTGAACCTCTCCACATGGAGAAACCAGGTGAAACCGGAAACTGTAAGCGCGACACTCTACGACGCACTGACGGATGCCCTGACCTCCGCCTCTTGGAGCAATGATAAACCAATCTGAGCCTGAACACCTTAGACTGTCGGGAGAAAATATGGACTTTTTCGTTGAACAGAAGTGAATATGTAGCTCTACAAATAACTCTTGCATTGTTCTCCTCATGCATTATTATGAATACTTTGCACAACTTTGTCTTGACGTTTTACAATATTGTTTACACTTCAGAATCATTCTGCGTATTCGAGCGAAAAAACATGAGTTTTCTGCCAAAACATATCGCCTTCACATCAATGTGGTCGTTTCTCTGATCATGTACTGTGTCATACTTTTCGTTCAAGTCGGCTTACCCGTTATGCTTTTTGTTCTGTCAGTATTTTTTGACCTGTCATGGATGACCAGAGTGTAAGTATTGACCTGTTACAGTGCACGCAAAGATGACAAACTCTTTTGCCATTTCAGGCCTTATCTTGAAACTATGTTATTCTTTCCCATTTCTTTATTCGCCATGTCTACAAGCATTATGTATTTGGCAGTTATTCGTCCATATCGAGAATCTGCTATACGACTTATCAATCGGGCTCTGAGCGCAATAGCTCCTTCGACGTTCATTAAGATTCGAGAACGTAGAAAACCTAGCAACTCGTCAAGTTTCACTGTATCGAACAACTCATTTGGAAGAGAAGCACTTCAGCTAAATTCGAATTACAGTTTGACTTCTGTTAGCTGAAGGCTGTGAATATGATCAATCGGTTTGGTTTCTAGTCCAGCAATGCCTACAAGGAAGGAAAGTCATGCCTTTGACCAGTGACTGGGTGTACATGCGCTAAAACGCGCCTGAAGGCGTGAAGTGTCCACGATTGTTCGCAGAGGCAACGACTGCACCATTTTTGCCCACAAAGCGACTGAGGGGCCCAACGATGCTGTCGTTCCTCTCATTGACCCGAACCATCTTTATTGGATCCGTTCGCCGCGCTACTATCTATAGTGACTGTAGACCTAGCAAAGAACATCGGCAATAGGAAATCAGGTGTGATCAATGGCGGCGACCCCATCCCACCCACCACTCGCCCGGTAATTTGGTCCGTTCACTCGCTTTGCCTCCCTCTACTCGTACAAGTGCGCTCGCTGGGAAGTTTCATTAGTGGCATTTGTGACGAATTATTTCTGTTTCTTTTGACTTTGTTAGCATCTTGGCATCGCTGCCTGAGCACCACTACCCAGAATATGTGATCAGGGGGGCTTCGCCTTGGAAACAGTGTCCAGTAACTCGCCGGAGTCACAAGCGCGCCCCAATTCTACACTACCCCATTTGCTTACCGTTGATATTTGACACTTTTTTCCTGCTATAGTGTAGTTCGCTGCGGACGGTTGGGCGTGTCAGGCGGGATGAGTTTGGCGCGGTGCCAAACCCGTTCTCCACCAGTTGTTGAAGCGAGCAAATGATATGACTGTATTATATCGTCCACCCACCTTCCACTCGAGTCAAAACAAACTCTGGTACCTGAATCAATTGCAATTAAAAGAAAAAAAAACAGGAAATTAAGCCAACTTCTCCTAAAAGCACTCAAGCAAAATTGCTTGGGCGCGCTCTGACGCGTATTCGAGTAAACTGATAAGAAGATAAATTCGATATTCGAGTAAACCGAGAAGAAGATAAATATTCGATATTCGAATAAACCGAGAAGAAGATAAACACGAAAGAGTAAATACGAACGAGAGCAAACCAGCCGCAATCAGCTGATTAAAGGCCGAGGTACCGGGGGAGGGATTCTGGGCAGGACCCACAGCCGCAAGGTGGTTGCAGGTGGTTTGATTGGAGCGCGGATTTTCAGGAAAGTGGGGTGTCTTTAAAGGGCCATAACTTCCTTAATAGCGGACCTGTGGGAAGAAAAGAAGTATAGAGAAAGATTTTAGCTTTCCAAAACATACTGACATGTTCATAAAGGTCGCCAAATTCATAGAGAAATTTGCGTTGGGGAGTTTTTAGGGAGTTTTTTTTGGATAGTTTGCAGCGCGAGTTTTACAGGTTTGAACCAAGATATTTCCCTTACCTTAGACCTCAATAGTTTGAGGACCTGAAATTACTGTCTAGTTCTATCCAAAACTAATTAAACGTTCTTTGAAGCTCCCGGGAGTCATGAGATAATTGCGTTGGGGATTATTTGGGGAACACTCCGAACTGTTCGAAAGTCCGTTTTCTGTGTACGGTTTCAAGCGAGCGTGTTCGAATAGCCAGAAATACATGTAGAACATATCCTGTGGTAGCATTAGCAGAATGTGGTTTGTTTAGCGCCAATCATGCTAACTTTGGATGCGCCGCGCATTGAGGTCCACGCAGAGGTGATATGATGGTGTAACTTGTGCGTAATGTCTGTCCACGCGAGCAAATGTGTAGGATTCAGAGAGGTCCATGGCGAACCTGTGCACTTGCTTATCACAGTGTTTTCGTTGCATATGATCGAGCGTGTCCCTGTCGACGCCGCCAGATTCGTGCTCCGCCAGTTGCTGATTCCGACAAAGGAGACCAACTGGTGGAAAACGTATGATACGAATGATATGGTAGACCTATCGTTTGTCGAAAAAACAGGTTGGCACAGCGCCAAGCGCGATCGCGGACATGCCCAATCATCCACAGCGAACCAGAGTATGAGTTGTACTGTTTAGTCACTACGAGATGATGTCGACTTTTCAAAAATTTCCAGTTATTTCAGATTAGTTTGCATGCAGTGTGAAAGTTTTCTACTATTTTTACATATCCGAGTTCTCTACAAAGCAAGTTTCGCTGTACAGGACTCAGCACACTGACACCTTTGCGCTGCTCGTTACTGGCTACCGCACTCATTACGACCCCCCCCCTCTCCTGGCGGCCAAATACGACCCCCCCCCTGTGGGGATTCCCCAACCAACGATGTTGCCTGCTATCGCAGCGAGGGGGGGATTAGTATATATATACACAAACACACGCGGAAAATCCCAAAAAGTCAATAGCCAGAAAAAACTTCCTTAACACAGCAAATTTCTCCTACCAACAGCGACCAAATACGACCCTCCCCCTTCCGGCTAATGCCGTTTGGACTCCAAGAACTTTCGCACCGGGCGGAAAATAAATTGTGGGGGACGTGGTCACGTACTGGGTGGCATCTATTCCTACAGCATCCGCGCGGCACGTGTCGCGCGCGGCGCTTCTGGCATTTTGCCATCTTTGGTTATCCGCGCTTCTAATGGCGATCGGGGCGCAAACCTCGCGCCGTTTGACTTCATTTGAAGAGCAGTAAGCCTCTTTTGAGTTCCATACACCTCGCAAGTGCGATTTGAATGAGCAGGAAGAGGAAGCACTTGTAGATAGTATTGTGTAATAGGTAAATCATGCAGCAAGGCATCAGCTGACACAAGGATACATCATACTATACAACTTACTACTGGATGCTATTCATGTATTACTATCCTTCTACCACAAATAAAAACTTTGCTAAAACTTCGCCTACAGCGGTTATCCGATGCCGCTTGCATCACAGAGTGCTGGCAGTTGCCGTTTTTCAAACTCGTGCCCTTGGGAGCCACTAGACGCCAACTTTGCACCAACACTTTTCTTATCAAAAAGTGTGTGAACTGCGTTCGGTTGTTCGGTGAACTGACCACAAGTATGACATTCATTTTTAGATATGGTGCTATTTGGCCCCACCACTTCCTTTACCTAGCGTCGATGAGATCTTGCGCAATGGGGTCATGCCCTGATCACGAAAATGGCATTTATTTTTTGGTTTAGCGCTCTGCTAAGGCCGAGCCTGGGAGAAGAAGTGATTCCTTTCAGGCCGGGCTCAACACAGCGTAGATGGTCGTAGTATCCTCTGTTAGCGCCGGCGCCAGGAATGAATTTCCCTTCGTAATCAGGATGTCAAATAACCACCTTAGTAAGTTTTAGCAATTTCGGTGATCGAGAGTATTTCGCGCTGGCGCCTGTGGCGCGGGGCCAGCTTGAGCGGATGTGACAATTATGTTCTTGAGGTCAAACTAGCCTCGGGAAAAGTTCCTAGCAAAATTGGTGATTTAAGGCATTTAAGCGCCCTCTGTGCGCGGAGCCCATAGTCAAAGCCAAAGCGCCATGCGCATATTTTGTTTAAAGGAGCGCGTGATACCCCTGGAAACAAATTCTTAGCCAATTGCCCCTCATAAAGAAAGGCGGTAGAAACTGATGTCGGAAGTTCGGGTAGTAGTAATTGAGTAGTGGCCACATCTGAAAGATCAAGTGAGTTGAAGACGAAATACAGTATGGTGGCTCAGGAGCACCTGATCTTTCCTATCCTACCAAGTCAGCAGTCTTAGGATTGTGATTTTATCTACTGTAATTGACAATATTCCGATTCCAGTCGTTTTCATACATACGTCTTCATATGTAATTTCCTGTCGAGCGAATTCTTGTTTTATAGAAGTGATACGCAATAAAAAATTTTCATCCAACTAACTGTCTGTAATTATTTAGATCTTATCCCAATGCATCCCACTGGGTATTTGTTATGCGTGTGTACCCCCTTTCCTCATGGAGCGAACGCGGCGTAACAGAGCAACGCAAAAGACAACGTCAGGCTTGGGGATCGATTCAGTATACACAGGACCAAACAACCAATGAAAATGTTACATAGTGATAGCACCAGATGCTATTACTATGTAACATTTTTGCTATTACTGCTATTACTATGTAACATTAAGATTTAATAGATGCAGTTTACAATACAATATGTTCCTACCTCAGTCCTCCGATATCAGGTCGGTTTTCTACCTTTTTTAGGAAGCAGGTTTGGTTGCTCACGGGGTAAATTGACTAAATGTCGCGGGAAACTCATCCCCGAATTTTCCCGCTGTAGATTCAGCGGCGACTGAAGCCCCTAACTTCCCCAACATCCCGGCATCACTGAGCGGATCAAAGTGTTTGCTGAGATGGAAGCATGTACCCAACCCGTCCCCCACAATTATTTTGCCGCCCGCGTGCAGAAGTTCTTTGGAGTGGAGTCAAACGCATTAGCCCCCCCCCCCTTCCCAGCGGAAAGGTACGACCTTCCCCTCATGTTTCCCACAACGGTACTGTACCCTGCCTATAGCAGAAGCATTTCACACTCAACTCAGTTTTCAAAGGGTGCTCCAGGGTCAAACAAATTCTTTAGTGTAAAGCTCAGGAAGTCTAGAAGGCAGATTCAAAATCAGCGTGGCCATACTTCGTTGGTAATCTTAGCTACCCTCATTTGTTTAGACGAATTTCACCGATCTTTCGTATTGAGCCCAACGAGTGAGAATTCTTGATGAGATTCACACCATCACGGTAGGAGTCCAAACCATTGGAATTGAGCCTCTATTCTATAGGAACCACTCTAACAATTGTTCTCCCAGAAAATACACTAATGTATTCAGTCAGCGTTTTGTTTCCTTAGACTCTTCCAGGCTGAAAATACAAAAAAAAACAGTGAGGCCGCGTTTACACTCCGCTGTGAGGCGCGACGAGGCGCTACCTCTACCCTCGTGTGCTCCAGTGCTACAGAAGGGTATCGATCGGCGCAACATCGCACCTGCGAAAGTAGAGTTGTTGACAGGTAGTGACAACTAGAAACAAAAAGCTGGCTGCGCTGCAATCGCGATGCATTGCGCATGTGCAGGCTTCGAGAAATACATTGCTACCTGGACACGGCGTACGTCATTGAGCAGGTGTAGTGCAGCTAGCCGCACGCTACATCGCCA